ACAACGTGAACAAAAGACAACAACTCATTTGTTATTCTAAAATACGCTTTGTCATCACAGTTTCTTCTTTCCACAGGCTAATTTTTCTATACATTGTTTAGTCTGTCACTGAGATATAGGATAATGCCTGAGCTTCAAGACCTTCTCAATTTTTAAGAAGGCAGAGGAGCGAGCGTGAGGTTCCACGTCATTGACCCGCCCTTCCATTTATTGAAAATAACAACCTGTTCAAAACAATGGAAAGGTGCATAAAAGTGATATAAATGAGTGATATAGGTATTTTATTTATCTACATTACACGTATGAGTAAACGTGAACGTGCAAAAATTACAATAATCCAGTATATATTAAAACGAAAGAAAAAAAATCAATAAATAAGTAAATAAGAAAGTAAGATAAGAAAAATAAAATCAAAATAAGAATATACGAAGATCAATAACACTAAAGGGAAATCTAGCGATGTAAAAATCTAAACTAGATGTTTGTTTGGCTATTGTGACTGTGAGATGACTTGAAACGAGGGTGATTGGTACTTGACAATTACTGAACTTTGTCGCCGAACAACGCAGGCATCGAAAATGAGCAATAAAACCGAATCAATATATCAATAACTCAAAAAGGAATTTGTGTCTCGATTTGCATTCCGATAGTTGTTTTCGCTTTTTGCGTCGTTGTTTGGAGGCCCATTCTGGTTCCTTAGGCTCAGTTCAAACGTCGAATAACACATGTGCCGAATTTAATTGCTATTTTAGTCGACTAAAATAGTTAAATACGGCATTTGATTCAAACGTCGAATTGAACTCGCTGAACTCTGTCGAATTTAACTCTTCAAGCCAGACTGATTTGAAAACCTACCAAGAAATCATGAAACACTGGCGGAAGACAACAGAAAAAGACACCTGCCCAACGGATTAGGAATTGTTCAATGAGTTTTATACAGACAGTGGCTGGAAAGAACTTCCTTATGCGTACAACATCAGGCGGATAATCGTTCGGCCCATGATGTCATTCCACTATGCCTGCTGTCGACTCCAAAGCCATGGACGTCAGAATGTCGTCCAAGTAGAAAGGAGGCGAGTACTTTTGATGGTCCCATCATTATTCAGCAGTACAACTTAGAAAACTGGTGGAACAACAACGTCCTTCACACGCCAAAACGTCATCAACTTGCAGGAGGCTTGCTTAGTGAATAATTACATTTAGCCATCGTGAATATGCTTAAATACTTTGTCAGATTTGTTTTACTTCACACTGTCAAGACGCCTTCAGAATTTCTTGATTATATTGTACAAGAGCTTCTTTTTTTTACCTGCTATCCAGGCTATCTAAGATATATGTTTACATTCCGGTCTACATCCTATACTGTACACGGCAATTATGTTTTGTTTCTACCGTCTCTGAAAATTACTACTTATGGTCTTCAATCCTTTCGTACATGGCTTCAAAACTATGGAACTCTCTTCCGGATTTTTTTCGAATTTCTAACTTTTCGGATTTCAAGCGCAAGATACTACAGTATATGACTCCTTTTAGTAGTTCAAAATTTTAGAATGTTGTTAATTTCACAATTTTTTGTAGTATTTAGAACTATACTTGAACTCGAAGATACTAGTTTATCTTTAGCTACATATACTTTATTTAACCTCGAATTTAGAGTATATGTATATGTATATGTATATGTAAGTATGCAATAAACAATCAATGATTACTCCTGAAGCTTGAACTCCTGTGATTATTAATCAGTATGTATGTATGTATGCATGTATGTATGTGTGTACATTTTGATATTTCATTAGTAAATTCTGGTGTCAACCGTGAATGTTTCATCTCGTATGTGTAGTACAAGTATTCAATTTAGTTGTGAACGTAACAGCGTAAACAGTGTTTAAACTCCACTTAACTGAGACTTTATGGTTAATTATGATTAATATTCCTTTTTAATTGGTATTAAATTCCAAAGCTGGAACCGAGAGCTTGTCTACAAATTTTGCTTAACTTCAGCGAAAAACACCTTACGAGCAGAGATTTCTCTGTTGCAGTGCTCTTAGCATTCAAAACCCGTTCGCGTCGCTTGTCAGTCGCGTAGTTGGTTTGTTTCATACACCCCGAGAGAAAACAAACCAATTAAAACACGCGAATGACAAGCGACATGGACTTTGTAAACGCTTTTAGCCATGCAAGAGAGAAATCTCTGCTCGCAAGTTAGCAACAAAACAAAACAAAAACAAGAGCGATAATCCTGTTAATCAATTAAGTTATGCAAAAATATTACCTCAAATATCGTAGCTTGTTATTCCCTGCAGTTATAAAAATGTTATATTCGATTGCTTCTGATACTAGTACATGTAAAACAGCACGTGCAAAACTATTACCCGCCCCCTCGGAGAATTCATGAGAAATATGAGAGGGAAGACCGAAAGTTTAGTGGATGACGCACCTAGGCACAAAAATCTCATTGGCTCCTTGATTAATCGTTGCTAGTTCCTTTTACCTGATTGGTCTAAATAAAAAAGGAACAAGTAACCAAAACCCAAACTTCCGACCTCTTAACACTTTTAATTACACAATAGGTTTACCGGAACTTTATTTGAGTAACTCTTGCCAAATTTCAATATAAAATCGAATGGTTTAGATGGAATTGACCAAGCGAAACGAAAATAGAAGCTCTAATCGCAAGGACAGGAACTGTTCAGATAAGCTTTTAAATTGACTACTGTCGCTGTAGCATCGGGTGAGTGTCACTACCAGCTCTTATCTAAATTACCGCATGAAGGACAAGAACTCACCGTTTTGACATGCGACAATTTCGTCGCCGACTATTATGGGTTGCTGTAGTATTAGTTTTGGTATTTTGCCTGAAGAATTTCAGGCGCCTTTTCCCACCAAGCATCAAATGGATTGATTTAAGAAATCAAAAAGATAGTCTCTCCATCTTATCTCCGGTTGAGGAACCTCATCTATACCTCGAGCAACCCATGTTTTTGCTTGTTGTCGTTTCTTCTTCACCTAACAAACGGGTACACGCGGGAAGGAGAGATGTGATACGGAAGACTTGGGGCAATGTTGAGGAAACTCGTGTGCCAAACGATGTTATATGGAAAGTAGTGTTCGTAATGGGCAAACCACAGAACGCTGAAATGAACCAGGTCATAATGGCAGAGCACAAAAGTCGAAGAGACTTACTTATCGGTGACTACAAAGACGAATATCGAAATATTGTCATCAAACTTCTGATGGCATTCCAGTGGGCATCGAAAATTAAGTGTTCCTATGTTCTCAAAACGGACGATGATGTTTATATCGAAATTCCTAAGCTAGTTGAGTGGTTGATTAAACGAAGTGATGAACATTCTCTCTATGGTGGTATTCTCTATCAGGGAGAAGTTGTCAGAGACAAGACTCATCGACATTATGTTAAAAAAGATGATCTCTCCCTGGAGCATTACCCGATGTTTTGCAAAGGCTCAATGTTTGTCCTGTCATGGAATTTGATTCCCAAGATGGTGGGATTTTCAAGACATATTAAAAGAATTGGACCCGATGATGCTTACATAGGGCTTTTAGCCTTCCAGCTGAACATAAAACCAGTCGAAATACAAGGATTTCAACAATTTAGTCACATGCACAAACTTATCAATGTCGTAACTACGTGTCAAATCCAGGAATTGATAGGAATTGGTGATTCTCTCACCCCAGAACAAATAAACTATATCCATAAAGTTAAAAAATCCCTTCCAAAGAACGGAAAACTTCCTAGCGTTTGCATATCGCTATTCATGGAACTTGTACTTTTGTTGTCTTTATCCTGTACATTTCTAATGATATTTTTGACATTTTGCTGCCGACGTAGGTGTCGCTTGAGAATAAAAAGGTAACACAGGTCGTTTTGCCCGTTCTTTAAGCCTCAAAAAATGAATAAGCGTGAATGACAGTGCCAACAACTTTTTCCAATGAAAACTTCACAGAAAATATGCATCAAAGATCGACGTAGCGTAGCGATCGCTGATCAAGTGCATGTAGACTGTAATTTTTTTTGTGCAGTGAGTTTCAGTAACTCAAAAGTGATTATTGAGATCGATAAGATCGTTCAGATCGCTCGACCTTTTTTGAGCAATTGTAGCAACAGAATCCAAGCTTAACTAAAATCATCTCTGATAAGCCGTGTTGTAGAGTGCTGTTTGTCATCGGGCGAATCGACTTACGTCCGGACGAAACAATTGCAGGCGAAATGACCACAATTCGAATAAACATATGAGACTCCCTTCACAGTTTCTGAGTCACCACTTTCGATGGAGCTGGCTGATTTTGCTTACGCACATTTGAATTACGCAAATCAGTACTTTAACACCCTGAAATCCCGGGGGGGGGGCACTCAAGGAATGTTTGAGTAGAGGGGTGCCGTCGCGACCTTCAAACCATGACCATGTTTAACAGCCAAGTTCGGAAAATATCGAGAAACTCAAATCAGTTCAGTGGCAATCTTTACACTTGGCCGCTAACTAACATTTAAGAGCCACTAAGTTTTACGTGTGTGAAGGCCTACATAAAATCTCAAGTTATTTTACTTTGCATCTCATTAAAATCGGAAAGTTGAAACGATTCAAGAAAGTAGTATTACTTGCTTAACTGGGGCTACTAGTACTTCATGTCATAGTCACGAAATGTCCTCTAGGTCATGAAGTAGTAAGTCACAAAGTGTCCACCTATGATAGTGACGTCATCAAAAATTCAAGATCGTCGGTTCCTCGTCAGGTTGTCTTCGGGTGTTATTCGTTATTTTAAGTATAGGATATAAGAAGTTATATATGTGGACGAAGATTGTGTCTAAGACATGTGGGACAGATGGGCAAAATGGGGAGTACGCATGCGCAGTACAGAAACTTGTGGAAAAACGCTTTTTAAGTCATTTCTAAATGTTGGAAAGAGTTTATTGAATACCCAGACTCATAGTTATGATAAAACAATGTTCTTAATTGTATTACAAGAAGATCGAAAGTTTCTTAAAGTGTCAATAAACTAAATGTGTTACAAAGTTCCTTAACATCCTTGCATTCTTGTTTCGTTAGATTTAAACTTCGTTTAAAAGTCTCTTGCAATTCCAAGACAGTCCCGGGGTAATCGTACACATTCCTGACGCCTACAATAGCGGTTTTCTGCACTAGAGTGGGTAAAGTGTACTGTTCTTCTGACATTTGATCGCACGCGTAAAACAAATCTTGGTCAGGGTTATACCAAAACCAAGTGTCTCGTTGCACATCGTACACATACAAGACTTTTTTGAGGACTTTGGCCATTTCCACCGCCCATCCTGTTCCTCCAAAGCAAAGGTTACTTTCAGGTTGAAAGCATGTGAGCGCCAGCACCATATCTGCCTGTTTCACCACATGATAATTTCGGTGAATATACTGTAAACTAATAGGGTTCTCTAACTGTTTGTTGAGGCGAGCAGCTACTTGTCTTGTTGTAGGAATAGCTTCAGCTAATTGTTGATGCGTTAAGGGTTGTACGGAGGCTCTTCTGGGGTGACAAGGAGGAATGAGAACTTCGATCTTCAAACCATAGTGTCTTGCTAACTTTTCTGCTTCTAAATCTACACCATTTGCACCACCAGAGATTACAGTAAAAGCCATGCTGTCAAGTGTTTACGAGTAGATCCCAACATGATTTTTATAGAAGAACAATGACGTCATTGCCCGGACATGTTCAATTCCCAAAGGACTTGATCTCTTTTGTTGCATGCATGTCGTAGTAAGAAATAGCTTTTTCACAAACAGCGTCATACGCTCCTTTATTAAAGTCAAATAAATAACGGTTTAAAGTGTCAAAAGTAAGATGGTGATAAGAGATGCCTTGAATAATGACTTCTTGCATAAATTTTTTGTAACCTTGTATGGTGGAAGGATCCACATGCTGTAAAATGTCATCTAGACTGTTGCAGGGCTGCATGATGAATGCTTTTAACCTGAGGGTCCATCGGATATTATATCAGGTCGTTTGTTTGCCAAGAACTTGAAAAAGGCCGTGGTTTCTTTGTTCAGTTGATTAAATATCTCTCTGTTCAAAGCAAACAAGTCGTAATTCAATTGATCAAAGGTCATGTTGGTGTTGGCCAAGGTCTCAATCATCAAGGCTCGCATAAATTCTTGGTACGATGCAAATTGACGAGGTTGAACTTTTCTTAACAATTGTTCCAATTTAGTAGACGGTGTCGTAGCCATTTTCCTCCTCTAGTTTTTGTATTAAGGTTTTGAGTCGAGTCACTTCTTCTTGTAGTTTTTCCAAGCTTTCCTTAAGATGTTTGATTTGTTGTAGCAAATGCACGCAATACCTCAAAGATTTACTAGCCACCTTAATCCACTCGATCTCACACATTATGATGAGACACACATTAGTGTGTCTGCTTATATGGGCAGGTCACGGTCCACTGATTCATCCAACCGAATGTATTTCCGTTGACACTCTTCCAGTTTCTTTTTGAAATACAGTGTGATCAAAACAGGACTATCCTGATTTAACTCTGGTTGAGTGTTATTCCATTCTGTCAAAGTCACGTCCAATATATCGATAAGATGACTTCGCAGGGAATAAAATTGAATCGGGTTACATTAAATTAATGTTTCTTTGTTTTTATAAGGCAGAGTTTTCATAGTAGTATTGTTGACATACACACTTTTGGTAAGATTACATAACAACAACAGAGGACCCATTGCCCAAACATGTCCAATTCCCTAAGGACTGGAATTGAGTATAAACGAGTGTGTGTTTGATTTGAGCAATCAGTATGTGTAAGTTGCAAGAACCTCCGTTTGAAATGGATATCGTTGTTAGTTCTAATGTAGAGGACATTATGGCTCTTGCTCCAAAACCTAAAGAAAAGAAAACCAAGAAAACAAAAAAGACCACCGGAATGGAAGTCGTTGAATCAGTTCAAGAAGCACCAGAACCCCAAGTGATTGTAAATGAGAATGCACAATCAGCATTCGAAAATGTTGCTCTTCCCACCTATGAAGAAATGATGTTTCAAGACTGGTTAGCATGTGGAAACGTAGAGCCCCCACTAGATTTGCCTGCTGATTTGGAGCAGGTGGCTTTGCAAGAGTATGTTTTGGATGCCAGCAAACCACTGCACACACACTTTATTCTTCCCCATCAAGGAAAGCGATCAACCTGCCCTGTGTACTTTGGCAATGCGGACAACAAGCAGACAGTGTTGAACACTATATGCAACGAGATGCATGCCAAAATCCAGCAGCAATGGGGAACCTTTGCCTGTCACTGTGGATTGGTCCCTACCCTCAAGCTCAGTCAAACCTCAAGAAATCCAAACAAAGTGTTCCTATGCTGTCCCAAGACCAGAGAGGCAAGGTGTGGTTATTTTCAGTGGATCCACCAGTCACCCAAACCCAACTATGTCCCTAAAGCTGCTACACCATCTGCCCTCAAGAAACGATTGAATGAGATGGTACAAGAAAGATTACAGAAACGACCAAAAGTAGAGGAAGGAGGATTTAAATTTCCTTAAAACTGTAAAAATGAATGCATTAAACATTGTGATCCGATTAAAAACGTGTCTTGATTTGTCTAACACCCTTGGGGATTCTTGCCCATTCTTGCCCAATACCCTAGGGACCTTAGGAGGATTATAAAATTGGGGCAATCTCTGGTCAAATCACAAACTCTGCAGCCATGACTTGTGAAATGAGTAGAGAAGAAGACCTTGAAATGATGAGCGTCGATTTTGGAGCTACTGAGAGTGATCCTTTCAACACACATTTTTTGCTGTCATGTTTTGAAGAAAAGAAACTCTGCCCAAGATTTTATGGAAAGAATACAGACAAACTGAAAGTGTATGATGCCTTAAAGAAAGACATGCATGCAGAAGTAAAAACCGAATGGGGAGATTTGAAATGTCATTGCTCACGAATTCCTATTCTACGCCTTAGTAAGACAGCCAGAAACCTGAACAAAGTCTTCTTAACCTGTGGAACACCCGCTTCAGCTGAGACTCGCTGCAAATATTTTCAGTGGATTCACACACCACTGTTTATCGATAAGAGGCCCATCCATAAACTCAAGTATGCGACAAACCTGAGCAGAGCAGAATGGAAGCAACAAGCGGAAGCGAATGTTGAAACGTGGAAACAGCGCAATGGTTGGTACAGCAAACAAGATGCCGAAACTCAAACAGAGCAGAATCAGCAACATGCATGGTTTGCTGAATCAGCCAAAACGTTTGCTGAATCAGCCAAAAAGCAAGAAGAACAAAGAAAAGCGCAAACAAAGAATCCTTGGAACAGCACCCCTCTGCCAAGCACCTTTCAGTCGAGTCCAGAGATAGCCAAGGAGCTCAAGAAACGAGAGCAATGGAATGAAGTTAATAGCATTGCCAACCATCGGTTTAATTCTCGTGTGAAAGGATGGCATCATCTTCCTCCAGCTGATGCAAATGTAGCTGAGTATCTAGAAAAACAAAAAAGCGAAGGTCATTCTCTGTCACCCGCGGATGAAAAGTTCTTAAATGCATGCATAGCAAGCAAACATGATGAGTGGAAACCTCCTCCCGGGGCTGAAAAGTATGAAAAGAACGAAGTAGCCATCGCCAAAGCAGCGTATGAGGACTGGCCTTTTGGTTATTTGCCTGAAAAAGTGTGCAGTTTAGCCTCCTATTGCCGCAACAGAAAGCAGAAGGGATTGCCTTTAACGCCTGTTGAGGAACGGTTTTTTGCTCAATTGGTGAATGTATATGCCCCAGAAGAAACAGACAAGCAAAAACAAGAAAAAGAAAAGAGATTTTTGCAAGAATGTGATGCAAACAATGCTCGAAGAAAGGAAGCGGGTTTGTTACCCTATTCGTACGAAACATTTAGAACATTTGGAACTGGTATCTTTTGAGTGACTCTTTAGCATGGAAACAATCAATTACTAGTTTTGTCAATGTTTAAATAAAAGTGTTGAAAAGAGATTGTTTGTGGTTGTTTTCTGGTTAGGGTTAGGGTTAAAATGCTAATAAGGTTAGGGTTAAACCCTAGCCCCTTGGGATTAGGGTTGGGGTTAAACCCTAGCCCCTTGGGATTAGGGTTAGGGTTAGGGTTAAAAATGCTAATAAGGTTAGGGTTAAACCCTAGTCTCTTGGGATTAGGGTTAGGAGTATAAATCTGTGTGTTTGATGTGATTTTTCACTATGTGTTTTCAGTCATGGGTAATGTACAGTATAGAGCTACTGTGTGGGTTTGTCGTCGTTTGTCTAAAGACCTATGCTCTCAAGACACTTGTCATCCTATCAATTTGTTTGAATGGATGATAAATCATCACCATACATCCTGGGGACATTATGCTCTGTACATCACTTGGTTGCATCGACACTTTCCTTCACAAGGAATCAAGGTGTTTGACTATTTAAAGAAACAACATTCCAACAACATGTATTCATTTTGGTATTTAGCAAGTCAGCATCTAGCGTACTATGCATGCGAAATTATCTGCTTCGTATGTCGATCCTACCGAACCTGGATCACTGGGAGGGGTTGCCAAATTTGCCAAAGCACACAAGATTCTTGTGTCCCAAGCCAAGAAGGAACTGCAACAAGTACTGAGTTACACCCTCCATAAACCAAGACGTCGACGTTTTAAAACGTTACCAACCCTTGTGTTTAAAATCAACGAACAATTTGTGATGGACTTGGTGGATTTACAAAAACTAGCCAAATACAACAAAGGCTACAAATATTTACTGACGGTAATTGATGTGCTCTCAAAATTTGCGTGGGTGGAACCACTCAAGAGTAAAAGTGCGACAGCCATGGTGGAGGCGTTACAAAGACTATGGGCACGATTAGGAGATCGTTTGCCTGAAAAAGTACAAACGGATTCTGGCGGTGAATTTTATAACGCTAAAGTGCAAGCCTTTTTTAAAAAGCAAGGAGTGAATCATTTTTCGACACATGGAGATCCTCACGGGTCTGTGGTGGAACGATGGAATCGAACATTGAAAACGAACATGTTTCGCTATTTTACCGCCAACAATACACTCAAGTATATTGATGTGTTACCTGCTTTAGTCAGAACCTATAATCATTCCTTTCATCGCAGTATTCAAGAAAAACCTGTCAATGTCACCCCAAAAAACGAAAATGAGATTTGGTATCGTTTGTATGGGTCCAAAAAAGGCATGAAAGTAAAAAAACCGCAATGTAAAGTAGGGGATAAAGTGAGACTGAATAAAAAATTTCGCCCGTTTAAAAAAGGCTATTTACCAGGGTGGACAGAAGAAGTCTTTTTAGTGCAACGAATCTATACTAAAAAGCCCGTAGTCACCTATAAACTTACGGAATGGGACGGAACACCTATAAAAGGCACCTTTTACCAACAGGATCTTCAAAAACTGTTGTTGCCGGATGATACGTTATTTCGTATTGATCGAGTGTTAAAACGACAAGGCAAACAAGTGTTTGTGTCTTGGAAAGGGTGGCCATCCAAATACAATAGTTGGGTGTGGAAAAAAGATTTGCAAATACTATGAAGGAATTTCGTATCACATTGATCAGTGATCCCACCGATGAATACACTCAGAACAAAAACAACAATTTTAAAGTCCGTTTACCCGTACGACTCAATTTAGAAGGCAATACCTGGCAAGCCAGTTTGTGGAGTTTGTCTGTGGCAGATGAAGGTCATTGTTCCGCGGTAATTAACAGCAATAGCGACGCTACGTTACTGAAATATCGGTACACGTTAAGCAAACGCTATCAAGATAGTTCAAATGATTGGTTGATCGGATTTCAAGCTAAAGACAAAGCCGTGACCTTAAAAGAAGTCATGGATGTTTCCTACCCTGTTGTTTCTGGTATTCAATTGTGGCAGAATATTATTACACGCATGGAGCAAACGATGATGGAGGATGTCAATACTTCTTCAGCAGCGTGGAAAGTGACCAAAAATAATGCCTCCACTATCTCCTTAAAAGCAACTTGGAAACCCACTTTTGAATGGAACGGTGACAATGTTGTGTTAAAAGGAGTTTCACGGGAAGATGTTTATGCTCGTGACGCTGGCAATGCCGTCATCCCCTTATCATCCGTGGGAATTCATGTAGAGTTTGCTGAAAAACTTGGTTTATTGGTGAAAGACGCAAGCAACCAATACCAATTAGGACCCAATTTAGACTATGTCTTACCCACAGTCACTTATACGACATCCACCCCACCAGTCAGAAGCAATCGATGGTTTCAATGGTTAGGAGAGCATTTTGTGGGTATTATTCCACGAGATTTATTAGGGGGAACTGAAATATTTAAAGTCAAATTAGAGGATGGTCAATCGTATCTTTACCTCAGTCGCTTTGTAGATTGGCATTTTAAAAACCTCAATGCTCTGTTTAATACTCATGTAGGTGGTATTAAACAAACAGTGATGGTGTATTGCGATGTCGTAGAATCCACGATTGTAGGAGCCCAAAAACATTCATTGTTAAGAAAAGTGGAATTAGAACGAAAAGGGGAAGGCAGAGCCACCATAGAACCGTTACATCGTGAATGGATTAAAGTCCGAAATCAACACATCGAAAGAGTTGAAGTGTCCTTGGCCACTCCTCATGGCAGTTTGTTGGTATTACCCCCCGGCAAAACACTCATAACACTAGGGTTTCGACAAGTATAAAAGACAGACTTCATGTGACACCTGGACACACACGCAAAACAAACACCATGTTGGGAGGTTCACTTACACGTTATCACACGCCTACAATGCATGGCAAAGGCTTTACTCGAGAATTGGTCAAATTAGCAGGTCCTAGTGTCGTTCGATCCATTGGACATGGTCTACAAGTGTATGAAAAGGGAGCGTCAGCCTCAGACGCATTGAAAAGTTCTGGGGAAGTCTTAAAACGGGGTCTTAAACGTAAATTACCCGCTGCAGTAGGACTTGTGTTGAAAACGAAAGCCAAACAAACCTATAAAAAGAAACGACAACGCGTCAAAGACATTTTAGGGGTCTAATCATGCGACGTGCACAGAGATCACAATCCCGTGTAAGACATCAACGATCGGTGGGTCGTTACCACTCACCCTACCAGTATGGAGGTACCATTATTCGATCACCTCGAAGTCGTTTTGACGTGTCCACGTATCCTCCTTATGAAAGNCAAGTATAAAAGACAGACTTCATGTGACACCTGGACACACACGCAAAACAAACACCATGTTGGGAGGTTCACTTACACGTTATCACACGCCTACAATGCATGGCAAAGGCTTTACTCGAGAATTGGTCAAATTAGCAGGTCCTAGTGTCGTTCGATCCATTGGACATGGTCTACAAGTGTATGAAAAGGGAGCGTCAGCCTCAGACGCATTGAAAAGTTCTGGGGAAGTCTTAAAACGGGGTCTTAAACGTAAATTACCCGCTGCAGTAGGACTTGTGTTGAAAACGAAAGCCAAACAAACCTATAAAAAGAAACGACAACGCGTCAAAGACATTTTAGGGGTCTAATCATGCGACGTGCACAGAGATCACAATCCCGTGTAAGACATCAACGATCGGTGGGTCGTTACCACTCACCCTACCAGTATGGAGGTACCATTATTCGATCACCTCGAAGTCGTTTTGACGTGTCCACGTATCCTCCTTATGAAAGAGATCCGATGATTCTTCGTTCCCTTAGACAACGAGCAAAACAAAAAGGAGGAAAATTGCATCAAGTTACCTATCCATGGCAAAGCAAAGGGCAGAAACGTATAAAAAGGCGGCGCAGACGACGTTAAGCTATCAGTCTGTCAACATGTCACTTAATCTGTTTGACGTTCCGGACATTGACTACAGGTATGAAGCCAAACGGTGGATCCCTTTCAAACCGGCTAATACCGGAACTCGCCCTATTCTTTTTACCGTACCCTCAGGCGATGATTATTACGATCTGAATGAAACCAAGCTGGAAATCAAAATACGTATGAACACCACAGGGGCAAATGGACTTTCCGCTGATGAAACAGATGCCTCGGATGGTGATAATACCAAATACGTCTATTGTGTGAACAATTTTGGTCATTCTCTCTTTAATCAAATGAATGTGTCCTTCAATGGAGTGTTGATGACAGAACAAAGCAATGCCTATCACCAGAAAGCTTACCTAGAAACCCTGCAGAATTTTAATCGCCAAGAAGGAGAAACCACTTTAGTTCCTCAAGGATGGGTGAATGAATTAAATGTGGTTGAAGAATTAACACCCACCAATGCAGGCAACAACGATAAACTCAACCCCAACAACTGGAGTGGAAAAACAGGGCTGAAAGCACTCACCAGTCGCTTACTCGGCAAAGCGTATCATACCTTTATGATCAAACCCCACATCGCTGTGTTCAAAACAGGCAAATGTTTGGTCCCTGGAGTGCAAATTGATTTGGAATTGTATTTGAATGACAGCAACCTGTTTCTCTTTGGTACACCAGACACTACTACCTCTGTAGGCAAAAAAATTCCTACTCTGGGAGACAATGATTTGTCTGTGACACTGTGGATGAAAAAAGTAACCCTGAATGCCTCTGTGTATTCCAGACTGCAGAAAGAAAGGACCCTCAGTAAAACCAAGAAAGTCCAGTATCCTGTCGTTCGAAGTGAGATCCGAACGTATTCGTTCGATGGCAATAGCACCCGTTGGTCTCAAGACAATGTCTTCTTGAACAAGGTTCCCCATAAGGTCATTATCGGGCTGATGAATTCTACCAATTACAATGGCAACCTGCAATATTACCCTTATGCCTATGAAAAGTTTGGAGTGACCCGAGTGCGACAACGGATTGACGGAGAAGAGTACCCTTACAGAGCTTTGGAACTCACAGGCGATTCATCTGCAGAAGATTTGCTAGGGTATGATCGCTTCCTGACTGCTTCAGGAGCTTACAAACACCACAGAGTACCCATGCTGCTCCCGGGAGACTGGGGACAAGGCAAAAATTGTACCTTGTTCATGTTTAATAATGTAGCAGGTGATTCGGACGATCCTAAATACAGAAACCCCAAACTTACAGGCAATGTCAGCTATGAAATTGACTTCAGAGCAAGTGTAGGGCACAATGTGACCGTGGTGATCTGGAGCGAGTATGAAAATATCTATGAAATAGACCAGTGGGGTGGTATTCTTTATTCCATCAACAGCTAGGATGGAGTTCGTACCTCTCAGCGATACAGTGCTTAGCTACTTAGCTCAAGACGATCGCGAATTAAAACCGTACTTTCGTGGTGTGTTTGCTGCTGACAAATTACCTCCTGTGTCTAAGAAAAGAGTGAATGCCTACATTGTCAACACTGATCCTGCGGGAGAACCAGGTGAACATTGGTTTGGGATTTGGACCTATCACAATACCTGTGAAGTGTTTGACAGTTATGGGTTACCGTTGTCTAGTTACAAAAACCCTACCTTACAAACTTGGTTCAAACAGTGGAAAGAAGTCATTAGCAGTGATCAGCCTTTACAAGCGATGGATAGTTTTACTTGCGGTCATTATGTCTTATTCTTTTTAAAAGCCAAAGCAAGACATGCCTCTTTTCAAGATTTTTTAGCCCAATGGCATTTAAATAATTTAGTGTTGAATGATAGGCGAGTCGGTGAAAAATTGCAACGTTTAATTAAAACAGAGCTGACTAGGAGTGACTGTCAGCAATCTAATGTAAACCGCAGCACCTTTTGCTATTTCTATCAATAAAAATGTGTGTTACTTATGACTGTGTCAGTTCTTTCAATCATGTTGACTCGTAGTGATGTTCAAAACGTGTTGAACACTTTGATGGAACAAGAATGGTCTTATCGGAAAGATCATAAAGAGGAGTGGATGAGGCAATGTGTTGATCCCGCGGTTCTGTGGGATGGGTATCATTGGCATTTTGTGCGATGTTTAGTGCAAGCTAAGATGTGGGAGGACCTAAAACACCATATAGAGGGGATGGGCGAAACGTATTTAAAGGAACAGATACAAACACTGATTCAGTTACACTCACCGCGTTTGTATCAAACACTATGGGGCGGACACGAAAACGTCGAGTGAGACGACAAAAAGGAGGAGCATGTTTTAGGCGAAAACCACGCCTTGTTGATAAAATAGCCGAGGGAGTGGCTATGGGATTGTCAGGCCCTTCCCCTAGTTTTGCTAAATTGGGGGCATTTTTAGCGAAACAAGCTTTGAAAGGTATAAAAGATAATGTGCAACATTACAGACGGCGAAAATGATTCGACAACCCGCAAGCGTGATTATTGCTGGTCCTTCAGGCAGTGGTAAAAGTGAATTGGTCGAGCAACTTCTTAAAGAAAAAACCTTGTTTTACCCTCCCCCTAAAAAAGTCGTGTATTGTTACGATCGTTGGCAACCCCGTTTTGATCGTATGAAAAAACAATCGAAAGTCTCTTTTTACAAAGGGCTTCCTCCAGAAGGGGTATTAGCCAAATGGTTTAAACCAGAGCATCATGGGATTCTTATTTTGGATGATTTAATGGAAGAATCTGGCAACGATAAACGCGTCTTGGATTTATTTACCAAAGATTCCCATCACCGTGGTATTACGGCTTTGTATCTCACGCAAGATCTCTTCCCACCTGGCAAATTTGCAAAAACCATTAACCGCAACGCACACTACGTAATTTGTTTTAAGTCTCCGAGAGACAAGACAGGTATCCGTCATTTACTCCTGCAGGTGTACCCTGAAAAATGGCGTCGAGTCCTCAAATTATTTTTGAAACTGACTGCGCGTCCTTTTGGTTATTTTATGCTTGATTTACACCCTGCCTCCGATGATCGTTTTCGCATTTGGAGTCACTTAACTAAACGAGAAGGAAAACCATTGATGCATACCTTTGACGAAGATATAAATAGCCGGTCGATTCGTACAAAACGCAAATCCAAAAAATGAGGCGAAAAGGAACAGCAAGAAAACGTAAACCTGGCGTGGGAAGACAACGTGGAGGCATTGCGCCTTTTTTGGCAGCAGCCATTCCTGCTTTAGTGGCTGGAGGAAAAGCAGCAGCCGTGGGGGGATTAGGGGCCGCGGCTAATTATGGCACTTTAAAAGTGTTGCAAGCTTTAGAGAAAAAGAAGTATAAAAGGCGACGCCCACCTAAGCGACGAACAAAAACATCATGACCGGACGCATGACCAGGCAAAGTCACTTTTTAAATGATGTCTTAAAGGAAGCAAATCAATATAAACGACAACAAAAATTACGCTATGCTAATGCAGATCAAATTAATGCTGTGAGTGAATTGGTGATGAATACTTTGCGGGGGGCAATACGTCCAGGTAGAAAAACCGTGCGTGCCCTTAAACCTTACAGTCAACCCCTGCGTCTCATCGCAAACCCTCGACAGAGTATAAAAAGGCGAAGACAGCTTATGAGTCAACAAATAGGTGGAGGTGCTTGGAAAGAATTGAACCGTTGTTATCGCTGCGCCAAAACTCAATACCGCTACTAAACATGAAAAAACAGTTGCTACAGCGACTGCTGTGTCTGTTAGATTACTTTCTTCTGTTGGCTCAGACGCTAAAAGAGTTTAAGCAGAAAGTACATCAGAGATGTCGTCCCAAAAACCTATAAGTATCTCTGTTCAGAATGAAAAGGTCACAGTAGAAAGATGGATGGGATATCTAGTACACCAGTCGAAAACTCTGTGCAATTTTTAAAGTTACGTGAACGATATAAATCAGATCTCTTGGACGATAGCCGTTTGACAAAAGCTGCTGGCTTAGCTGCTGAACAAGAACTGTTGCTGGAGAGTCCTGCCCCAGATACTTGGAAAGAACCCCGGTTAAAATCTGTTAATAGGGAATTACGGCAATGGACGAAAAAAATCCGTCAACCTGGAGGAACCCGTGCTATTGGGCGGGATGATGTTGATACAGACGATAAGGATGAGAATAATTTAGCCGTAGGTCCTTTGCAACAATTTATGGGCAACATCGCGAAGATTCAAAAGAGTATAAAAAGGAAAGCACAGCCTGTTACTCCGCAAACACCCATTACACCGACTCTAAAACAGTCTCCCCAGACTCCTTCAAGCAGTAAAAAACCTAAGTTGTCCTTTAAGACCGGATCCAAGGCAAAGCGTTTGTTACCCAAGACTCCTAAACAGAAAACACCTAAAAGCAAAACAAAGCCTAAGACTCCTTCACCTACTTTTAGTACTTCGGAAGAAGAAGAAGACTTTGCTGCTGAATCGTCTTGGGAAAAAGCGAAGGAGAGTATTAAAAAATCATTTAACGAGGCTGCGAAAAGGGCCCAAGAAAGAGCATTAAAGAAAATCGCACCAGCCCCTGGGTGGAAACCGTTTGGGACACCGACGAAAAGAAAACTCCATGGGAAAGACTGGTAAAAAGAGGACAAAGGTTCGCAGAAAAAGACGACAACGAGGAGGGAAGTTTGATCTTCAAAAATTAATTGAAAAAACAGGCAAAGAGTTTCATTGGCCTAAAATGAACTATACGGGGCCTGGGACCCGTTTGGAGGCAAGATTGAAGAGGGGGGACCGAGGAGTCAATCGATTAGACGAGATTTCCAAAATCCATGACATCGACTATTCCAAAGCGAAGAATTTAAAGGATAAGTGGAAGGCAGATGATAAAATGATTCGCGCTATTACTAATCTCCCAGGCAAGAAAACGACGCAAGAACGTGTAGTGAAGACAATTATGCAGGCAAAACGTAAACTAAAACTGTAACTTTTTTCTTTATTGCTGATTAAATTTTGTTTACATTTAAAGTGTCTTGTTTTAATTCTTGGTAAAATGTAACTGAATCGCACATTGACTATCTGATTGAAATTCAACTAGATTGCCATTTAATTCTTTGAGCGTGATTTCAACCTCTTCCCAATGATTGTCTTGTACCTCGTAAAAGTGTTCTCGGGTGGGTGAAAACGCATAGCGTTCTCTTCCTTGAGGCGCGTAGTACACTTGACCCAGTGATTGCGTGACGGTCACGCTGTTAGCGGTCACTTTGGCTGTGACTTCCAGGGGTCTGGGGTGAAGGT